TTCTAAAGAAAATTAACCGCAATCCCTGGTTATTGCCTTTGGAAAAGGAAAAGATTGTTACATTATCAGGACCAAAGAGGGTGTGGGGAAGGTGCTTGTGAACTAAAAAAAAATCTTTTTTTTTTTTGAAGGAGGGGGGGGGGGGGGGGGGGGGGGTGCTAACAGTTTAGTGATTTCGGTTGGCTACCCCATTTCCACACTATTGCTACATATGATAACTTTCTACACTGAATCACTTACAATATCTGCGAGTTGTTGTGGTCCCTGTTCATCATTCCGACACATCTCTACAGTCACTACAAGCGAATATACTGAGTTACTTCCTTCTGAAGTGTGACTTGATAGTGATGGAATTTTTAGATCTGTTGGAGGCACAGCTATTATTGTATGATCTACACCTGAGTTGCAGCTGAACATATTCAGTTAAGGACAAAATGTTCCTAGCCAAACATTCATTCAACTTCACACTATCTGTTTCTTCTCCTAACACCTCCCAGTAGTTATTGTTTTATGAAGAGAGGGTGAAAAATTGAACATTGGTTTCCTTTAAACAATTTCTAATTTTCAGGTTTTGTCAATAAAGTTGGAGGATACCTAGTAAGATGTAGTTTATTTTGGCATATCTGTGTAGGTTGGTACTTGGGTGTCCTGTACAGCATTGGAGTGTTCAGTGGTACATGCCAAGATTTTGTAGCTGAGTTAGTTTACAAATATGTGAAGGCTCTCTAGAAAAGATTTCAAAAGTCACCAAAAGTATAATAACGATTCTTGCATTCTGCCACATGATCAATTCCATGATTGAGATCCAAACTAGTCACAAACAAACCCCGTCTGATTGGCCAGCAGCAACTCAGATTTAATCATAAATAGGACAGTGCAATGGGGCAGTTGGCATTGTGCCTTTATACAAAAATTACTTTAACAATAATACTATTATGTCTGTTATATAAGCTTTCTTTCTTTCTATTATGTTATTTTAATAAGGTCCGGTTCAGATGCTGAACTTTTCATGAGCCAGATTAATTTGAATTAATAAAATTGCTTAGCTGAATTGATTCAGACACTGATCTATTCCAGCTACTACAAAATTCAACAGGAGAAAAATGCTCATTTCCGTCAAACAGCTTGCAAAATACATAATAATTTATGCATTAGGTTTGCGACATGAAAAGTTCAGCATCTGATCTGGACCTAAAACATAACAACCATTGTTGCGTTTTCTGCAAATTTAGTTTTAGTGACATTTCATAATATTATTGGTGTCAAACCAAGAATGTTATCTCTTCCTTTTATCTGTAATCATAATTGTGATCAAAAAAATTAATTTTAGTTTAAAATTACTGGCTGAATTGGAGATCCACTTAGTCCTAAATATTTGTTTTTCTGTGTTACTCTGCACTTTTATTTGCTTATATATTTGCACCAATGGAATTGGATTTCAAGCTGAGGTTTAACTTAAGGTGATTGCCTAGTTTTGCACTGCGCATCTCTTACTGCGCATAACAAGATGGCCGCCGTAAAAAAGAGCATGTGAAGTACTATTATTAAAATGAAGTTGACTGAAGAGAAACGCTATTGGAATTTTTGCTTGCTGTTGTTTCTTGCCGAGGTGAGACTCAATGTGTTGGGAATGTGCATAACGTAAGCAGTACGCGTGTTGCTGAGTTCGACCTCCTCTCGGAGAACCTCGATAGTGGATGTTTAACTTGTGCTTACTCACT